ATTTATCTTCCACATCAGCACGCTGTCGTAGCTGGCTGTTTCCAGAATCTGAAAACGCAAATTCTGTTCCGACAGCTTAGCAGATTGGATGTCCATTTCCTTTTGCATGTTCGAAATTTGTTGTTGCGCGGGTCCGCGGAGTATTCCTCTTCCTCCTCCCACGGTTCCACCGATGGCTCCCATTTCTTCCACCTTCTTCGTCAACGCTGTCGTCGATCCGTGCAACGAATCGACCGTCCATCGGATTTCTTCGTTCGCATTTTCTGTCTTTCTTCGCTGTATTTTCCAAAGTTTCAATATTGTCCGCTTGCCCCGCCAGTAGTTTCTTAAACGAAAGAGAAAAACATTTCATTACAATTTCCGAGCTATTCGTGGGGAAAGAAAAGCAAAACAAATAATAAATATTAAGCTGCGGTTACCTGCAATTTACCGAGACGATCGTCTCTCGATTTATGCGTCAGCTTGATGGATGCTATCTGCTTCGCAAGTTCTTCGTTTTTCTGGTGGTCCGCTTCCACCCGACTTTCCAGTTCGTCGCCCCGGCTGAATTTTCGAAGTTGGATGTCCATCTGACTTTTCAGTTCGGCGACTTTGCTAACTGCTCCGGACAACTCGGCGTTTAACCGTCATCACATCACATCACGGTCATGTCGAGATGGCTTTGGACTCCCTCTTTAGCGTGCTTTTCGAGTTCCGCATTGACGCCCTGAAGTTGAAAAAGTCGAGAAAAAAAATCGTTGGTGTTCTTTGCATAAAGCAATCTCGAACGAACTTTAATTTAAAAAATTTAGATATATAATAACCTACCTTTAAATCGCACCCGTAAAATTCGAATTTGCAGCATCTCTTCTGCCGAGAGCATCGGTCGTCCAGATGCGTTCTCAACTCTTCCCTTCGAACGTCATCCGCTCCGCAGTCGTTCGGACAAGACACCATAAATTAAGGGCAACTCCGTCGGTGCGCCTCGACGTCGCGATGCGGGAAGGGTGACTTGCAGAAAGTGCATTCGATCGAACGATGTTCGCACTCGGTTTCCAGATGTCTCTGCAGATCCCTGCGTGGCAGCTTGGTCGCACACCCTCGCGATCGATGCATGCACGCGACGGGAAAGTAGTTGCAAAATTCCAGGTGCCGTCCGAGTTCTTTCAGCGCGAACGTTTCCGAACACCCCCGATCCTTGTGGGGACAGTATATCTGAGCTTTCGAAATTTTCCGGCGTGCATGATGATCGGGTGCGATTTCCTCTTCGCCGAACTTTTCTTCGCAGTTCGGACAGAGTAATTTTTCCCCGCCGTCGCAGCTGGGCGTCCGTCCCTTGATGCAGGCTTCGCAAAACCGGCAGCCGCACGGCGCCTGCACCGCTCGTCGGACGGCGAGAAGACATACGCCGCACGTCAGATCATCCGACACGTTCCCTTCCACAAACGTGTAATCGAGTCCGTCCTCGTTCATCGATGTCGACGCGAGGCTGCTCATCTTGAAATGATAGAGTCTCGTACGAAAAAATTGGCCAATCTTATAATAATCTAAGATGAGACTAACGTCATCGGTGTTTGCGCTACGTCACACATTTCCTTTCAACTCGAAACCATTCAGAAAGCTTCGTGATTCGAAGTACACATGACGTCATGTGACATGCATCCTCGTTCATCCGGAAACCATACAGAAAGCGTCGTGATTGAAAGTACACATGACGTCATGTTTGATGCATCTCCCACAAAAAAAAGGCTTATAAGAGGCGCTCTCGCCGAGTTTAAGTCCACAAGTTGCAAACATGAATAACATCAAGGAAATCACCGTCTCGTTCGTTTCTTCCAACGGTAACGTGCGGCTGAAGATACCCCCGAACAAGAACGACAAATACAACCTGTACATACCGACGTGCGTCGACGACGGTGACACTCGGGGAAGCTTCACGGTGCTCTCAAAAGCGACTTTGGACAGACAGACTGCGAATTTACTCGACGGAAGTTACATGAAATTGTGCCCCCTGGGTCGGAATACTGTCAAATGCCTGAAACAAGTCATGCTGAGGAACGAGATAAACATCTCGTCTAACGTTCAAAAATGCCAGGTACATTTTCCAACCGACGTCGTCGCTTCCGAAGTTGCGATCGAATACTACATGATAATCGGAAACATGCCGCTCCAGATATCGAGGAGATGCGTGGTCCACTGCGATGGAGACGACCCGTACCATCGAACCGTGGCCGACCGTCGGATCGACGGATTCTCAGTCTCTCCGACAGAACAAGACCGTGCATCGACGAAGGATTGGATCTCCGCCGTTTTGGGGACCGGTCGAGTGGAACGAGATCGAGTGGCGGACGTTCTGGCGATCGCAAAGGACATGGTCCGATCCCATCCGGCGAAGGGCGAGACGGCGTATCTGGTGGCCGACAATCTGCGTGCTGTCTCTTATACACATCTAGATGTGGCATGGGTCTGAAGCTAGCCCTGCTGGAAACCGCGTTTAGGTGGCTGCCGATAAGACCGTACTTTTGGATTTCCATCGTGACGGCGGTAGCCTGCTATCTTCTCAGCCACGTCATAGTCGCCGCCAGAGTCGTAGTCGCCGGAATATGCAAGACGCTGTACGAAATCACGAAGTTCGTGGAACCTCTCGTCCTCAATCACGGTAGGAAGAAGAATCTGCGCGAGAACATGTACAAGTTTCAATCCCTGTGGCATACGGTCGACGGTTGCGAGGGATTCGAAACTTGGTATCAGGTCGTAGGTTACGGCTTTCACCGACTCATCGGAAACGTGTTCTGCGACCGTCTCCGATGGTATCGCTCTATCACGTTCACGCGGTACGTCGTCTACTATCTGATCAAGTACCTGGTCTGGCAACCGATTCACGGCGACTGCTCACCGACGTACGAGGACGACGTCTGCTTCGGTTTCCACCTCGACCTCGTGTTCGACTTCGTCAGAAACCACCACATCCTGGCGATCGTCGTCCTGCTCAACTGCTGGCCGCTCATCTCGTACGGACTATCGGTCTTCCGGCGAGCCTTGAAGTCTGTTCACCGGGAAATGGTGTACCAGCTGCACAGGTTGGATCCGGAAAACAGATCCGTCACCCACGGGCGGTTGGCGACGAGATTAAGGCACTTTTTTCACGCAGACTGAACGTCGTATCTTCGTGATCGTCTCCTTCGAACGCGGCCGACATGCTCTTGTCCTTTTTGTCGATGAACGCCTTCTCGGCCGCCGTACGGTTTGCGGAGTGCATCCTGGCTCCCGCGCAAACGGCGGCGAACACGAGAAACGTCACGACGATCGCCACGCTGCATCCGATCACCTCCAGAGTACACGAACGGTTCTCTACGTCCGCGGACGTCGCCGTTCTCACGACACCCCACAGGTCCCAATTCAACATCGTAGTGAATCTGAGATCGATCTTCGTGTCTACGCTTCCGATCGTTTCCAGCAAGGAATCGGAGACGGCGATCGACCCCGAAGTTCTTTCCAGCACCACGGATCCTCCTACTACCCGTTCAACGGTCACCCGATTCAGACGGATAGTGCCTTCGGAAAGAAGTGGAGACGCCCGAACCACGACTTTCGGGGGAGCTTCGACGTGAGTCTCGTTCGAGCCGTTCGTGTAACTCAAACGTTTCAAAGTCACGTTGAACGCCCTGCCAACTCCGGTCACGCGCACCGACGAAGAGAGATCGCCTCTCGCTCCGACGTACCCGTCGCAGCGGAACTCGAATCCTTCAACGTGCACGTGGCTGCCGATCAAGAAGACGTTGCATCCGTCCCGTCCGTCGGCGACCGCGATGATTCCCTCCCCGCACATCGGCAGCACTGTCACGTTCGACAGGAAGACGGGTCCCAGATCGTAAGGCAGGACGCTCAGCAACGACGACTTCTCGCAAGACGACGGATCTTCCGCCGACGCGTCGTCTCCGAGACTTCCCGACTGTAGTTAAGTTTATCTAATTGTTTATACAGTAGTTAAGTTTATCTAATTCCAGTTACAATTTATTGTAACCGGGATTAAATAACTTGCATTAGAATATGCCTTTTGCGATACCTTATCACTTTATCCGTGTTTATATTTTTGAAATATTTCCTATATTCGTAAATATGTTATCAAAATAATACATTAATTACATAAAAATTATTATATACATGTAGGCCTATTTCGTTTAACAGCTAGCTGATCATACCTTGTTCTTGGGAGTACCAATACTTCACCAGAATGTCTCTGTCGTTTTCTCTTAAAACGCTCAAATTCTCAAAAAGGTTTTCTTCGTTGTTTATCACTATTACTGTGTTTGCAATTAGCATTTCTTTCACACAGTTATACAAATATATGGAACAGAATAAATAGGTCGGAAGGCTGTATCTTTAAAGAACTATTTAAAAAGAAAGTGTATAACACATACTTTAAATAAAAAGTCCACTACTACTACTACTTAATTCACACTCTCTCCAGCAAAATTTCAAGCAGGCAGGATAGTGTCTGATGGCGTGTGGTATTGTTGAACGCTTTATAAAGGCAAAATGTACAGGCTATGTATTGCAGATATCATTAATGTTTTAATACAAATGAAACTCAAAAATCGTTTAGCACTTTAAAGACTAGTTTTATTTTTGACAGTACACTAGCTTTCGTGCACAGTGCACTTCTTCAGATGAACTGTGTGCACGAAAGCTAGTGTACTGTCAAAAATAAAACTAGTCTTCAAAGTACTAAACGATTTTTGAGTTTCATTTGTTATCAGATCAGACTAGTACGGCACATCTATTTTTTGTTTTAATACAGTTAGAAATATTGTTTGGTTCAATTTTTTTTTTCATTTTCAGTCTTGTTTTCTTTTATCTCTGTATATATGTTAACTTTTTGTCATTAAATTTACATACACGTTTCCTAGTATCTGTACATTTCTAGAGAACAGAAAATAGGCCTATATATCCACATACCTTGGTCAACACAAGCAGACCGCGATTCAGTCCCATATTCGAAGCATTTGCAAAATCCGTAATTATTCGTCCATTGAATGGAGCCCTTGCTCAGTCATAATATTTACTGTAGATGCGGGTTTTGAGCTGTTATATTGCTGCTGTTGCTCCCATAGTTGCGCATCGTGGCAATGGTTCAACAAGCCTGTCGGCATTTCGTTTTTCGACAGCTTTCCTATCAAGAGAATATTCAATAAAAATATTATTTAATCAAAAACCTTGCTTTTGATTTAAAAAAAAATAATTTTGATTTTACATATTGTATAAAATATTGCGAAATGTAACAAAATGTATTAGTTTGTTACATTGATAAGAATCTACATAGTAATACAGTAGTATTATATAAAAACATTTCAATGACCTTTAATAAAATCCAAATATCACTGACCACTGTGTATGTAATTATTCATGGATCCAAGTGCGTTTACCAATTGTTTTTTTTAACAACTTTAACGTAATTTTCATGAGACATTCTTGTAAAAATAGTTACATTATTTTAGCATTTAAGCGTTTTATTGCTACAGTATTGTTTATTTTCACATCGTCTCTGTCTATTAAATACCAGTCCAAATTACTTTAAAACCATTAGTCTGACACAAAGATAGGCAGTTAGTCACTATACTTAAAGAAGCTCTTATGTAAGAGATACAATTACACTATCTGCTCTCTCATGTTATTAAAACAACAAACCCCATAATCTTACTTGTTGTGATAAACTCGCGAAGAGCAGCTTCAGTTGTATGTTGAGGAAATCGTACTTCTGCTTCCTCCCAAGTTAGCACTTTTGTGGTCTTTAGGAATTTTCTTTTTAATTCCTTTAGTAGTTTTGTATTCCGTGCATCCTGCTCGGCCTCTTTTATAGTCCGATTACCGTCTGTCACAGATGTTAAGACAGTCAAACGATCTTCATCTGACAGACCTTGCAGGTTCATGAAAAACTAAACAATTGTAAAAAAAAAAAAATTAAAAAAAATTAGTGTTTATAAATACTGTATTTTGTTAGGTTTTATGGAACTTATGTGTAAATTGTATTTGAAAAAAAGAAGTTATTGTTATTATATATACTTTTTCTACTAATGCTTCCCTGGTTTGGTATTTTTAACTAAGCCATTACGGTACATATGGAAAAGTTCTTTAACTTTCGCATAGCAGCGGTCACTGTATAATGCCACCTGAAATGTCGGCTCCATAGACGATATTAATAATAATAATAATAATATTAATAATAATAATAATAATGATAATAATAATAATATCTTTAAAGAATATAATAATCTTAAAAATCACAATAATAAAATATAAAAATAACGATGATTATGATAATGAAGATGACGCTAATAATAACACAATACCTTCTTCTCAAAACTACTCTTGCCAATGGCCTCGGCGCACTTCCTTCTCCATGTAGACTTTGTTTTACTATCAGACCCCTGATAATCTTGCAGAATATTCCTGCATAAGGATACATTATCCTCAAAAGTTGACTGGTGAGTGGTTCCTGTAGAAATGTTGTGTCTAGACGCCACCCTTAAAGCTTCTGTCTTCGACAGCCCACTGTATACTACAGCTTCTAGATTGGAAAATGTATTTTTGTCCATTGATGCTAGCGCATTTCTTAAATGGTTTCCACCAAGTGGAATGAAACTGCATTCTTCATACATCTTTCTATCAAAAATGTCTCGCTCTTCTTCTTTTATCAAAACAGGAATAATCGTAGAAATCATCCCGTCGCTCCTTAGGGTTGTCTGTATTTGCTTCACAAATGCAGGGTCTATTTGCCGCACCAAAAGTTCTGGTGGGGGCTCTACCAGAGATGCTCTTGGTATCGAAACGGTCCCTAGAAATAGAATTACCATCATTAATCACACATTAATAACATTATCTAATACAAAATGAGAAAATATGTTATTTTAATTGAGATGCCAAATAGTGTTTAAAAACCTCATAACCTTTGAACTAATTTAAATTAAATGCATTAGCCCTTACCAATTTAACTAATGGGGATTAAAACCCAGATGAAAACCTGTTAGGAACCAATTAAAAAAAACTCATTGAAAAATAACTACCGTAGTTGAAAACCAATAGAGAACCCATTGGGAACCTGTTCGAAAACGCATTTGAAACACATTGAGGCCTATTGGAAACCCGACAGATTTCTGCTTTCTGTTAATGAGAACGATGATGGCTATGATAAGGGAGGGGGACGACTAAATTTTTACCTTAAAGCTCTGACTTACCAATGATCTTTTCTTTAATTATTTCGTCAATCGTCTTTTCAGCTCGCTTTATTCTTTTGACATTTTGGCTGTCTACATCAAGTGCTTTTCGTTTCTTTAATTCGTGCCATGTTTTGTTGAGATCGCTAATTGTTTTACAGTCCTTAAACGGGTTACATTCATCTGGCGTGTATTTAGCCCATATTACTTTGGTCGCGGTACAACCATCCTTTGCTTCCGTAATTACCTACAAAATAAATGGAGAGGAGTATAATAATGGTATATAGAAAATATATTTAAATTTCCTACGCATGTAATGCAATAGGAACTCTTGTATTCATTTCGTAAATAATTTTCTGCAAATATTGTTATATTATTACTACTGTAATTATACTTTTGCCTATATATATATATATATATATATATATATATGCAGTATATATATATATATATATATATATATGCAGTATATATATATATATATACAGTA